ATCTGCCAGAGAAGAAAGTTAAAGATTGCGACCACCCCAAAAACGACTTCTCCAAATTCTTCAACCCCCAGCTTCCTTCATTCTGGGCTGGAAGCTTCCAAACGCTCACTAGCAAATGCACGCATATCAGTGACCATGATGGTGGTTATGCTATTGATCAGTTGTTTCCTAGAAGAGATAAAACTTGAATAAACAAAAGTGTCGAAATTGCGACAGAATTATGAGACAACCCAATAATTTAGAAAGTAGAGGTGGAAAAGGAATGGAAACACGTATTGATTGCGTTTTGAATGTGATGAATCGCACCCTGACGATGTTGCTGGTCGGGAACAGGTGACGAACGGGGTATTGAAATGTAGACGAATTTTTCTTCGTTAAATTTCAGGTACTTCGGAAGATGGAGGTGGATTTTGGATCACCGAGGCTCATCCTTTCTAAGTAAAGCTCATTTGTTCTCAAACAATTTGAAATGAATAAGCTATTAACCAAGAAATGAAATTACACTGGAATTTTTCCTTCATATTCAAGCTATTGCGCCGAAGTTATTTGATTTGAAAAAAAAAATTTTATATCCTCTCTCCAATCATGGCTAAAAATTCTTCGAAAGTTAATTTAATAAAAATTTAGCACGTTGGAACTTTTTTCTGTGCAAATGCGACTTTTTCTTTAAACGATCATAACTTTGTTCAAAGTCATTCATTTGGGAAGCTGAACACGGTATGACAAACTACAGGATTCAAGCTTTCTAAAAAGTACCCGAACGTTCCTGAAAAGTCAGCAGTTCAAAAATTAGTCCCGTTGTTACTTTTTTTGAGGGGCATTCTTCAAGCCATTTTCTTAAACGCGGGTTTTTTTAGGTTTCACTGGCCGTAACCTCCAGGGAAAGCAATTTTGTTTGAACATAGGATGTGTTAGAAGCTTCGAGCATGCGCTTGCACTGATCCCCTGCCTTGGTGTGCGCCACGCCTCGGCGCCTTCTAATTCGCTGATTCATTTGAAAGCTCATTCAGAAGGAAGGGGTTTACAGATGCTCTAGTATCAATCATCTTGCGTAAACGTAACGTGCTGGCTACTAACCATGTTGTCTCAAGCATACTCCACTTTAGTTTCATATGTGCTTTCGGCTGGATCCATGTCATGGTGCGAGCACTTTTTTCGAACAGTGCTAAAAGAAATCGTGAAATGCTTAGGAAATACGAGCCATTTCCTCTACGGTGCGGAGAAGTTCAAAAGGCCGGCAGGGAGATGAGAGATAATGTGAGCGCGGAGAGCGCTAGAGAAGTCTAAGTAGAGAGAGCATAGCAGATCAACATTCCGACGCAGTCAAGATATCGAAGCGGTGGCTGAGGTGTCGGGCAGTGGAGCTCCTCTTGCGACACGCTCCGCCCACCGCTCGATATATTTTGTCTGCGTCGGCAATGTTGATCTGCTATGCTCTCTCTTACTTAGACTTCTCTACCGCTCTCCGCGCTCACATTATCTCTCATCTCCCTGCCGGCCTTTTGAACTTCGCCCGAACGAAGAGGAAATGGCTCGTATTTACTAAGCATTTCAAGATTTCTTTT